TGATCCAGTGCCTTAACCTCCATGCCATAGCTGGCCCAAAAAGAAGTGATTTTAATTTTAGTAAAGCTGGATGAGAATTGTTGAGTAAGTATAGATTAAAGCAAGTAGTACTAAAGTATACTAAGTAACATCATTCTGGTTTAGCTACAAATTAATACTCCACAGAGCCCGTCAAATAGATAAAATGCCTCTATTAGATTTCTGTTTACCAAAGAAGAATTCAGTTCTGATTTGATTGATTTCTCCGGGGAAAAAATTATGCTATGTGCTAGGATATCTAGGACTATATGAATTTTGAACACCTTGTATAGGACTTACACATATTGAAGAGAATCTCATATTACCAAACTATTTTCCTTCACTAGTTAAAAAGGCCTCACCTTGAATCCTTTCCCTCTTTTTAAAAAGAATTATTTATTTAATTGTTATTATTATTTTTTAATTTGACCAGAGAGACAGAGAGAGAAAAGAAAAGAAAGAAAGCAAGCTGCTAGGTCCAGGACTTAAACCACGGTTGGCCAAGTAGGACTCTGCCTTTAACCACCATGCCACCTGCTGGCCCGAATCCTTTCCTTTTTTTAAAAAAATTGCCATATGGCACATGCATTCATTGGAAAGAGACAGAGAGAGAAAGGAGAAAGCACCTCCCAAAAGATGATCACGCACAATCCTTTCTCCATTTTTCTCAAGATTTTCGGCACACATGCACACACATGCACCTTTTGTCTTTTCTCAAACCAACAGGTCCAGAATGCATATCATGCAGTTGGCCTTGTGGGATCCAGCCACCTTAACCTCCATGCCATTTTCTGGTCCTTGAATCCTTTCTAGAAGCAATGAAGATGACTTTTTAGGATTTTGACTACAATAGACTTGATTTTTTTTGGGGGGGGGAGAGTTTTTATTTTTTTTTCTTTCGCTATAGGGCGTGTGCTCGCCAGACAGAGACAGAGAGATAGAAAGTGAGAAATCACACACCCAGGGGGGCTGGCCACACTGCAATCCCTTCTCCTCCATTCTCCTCTTGGGATCTTGGGCGCGCATGCGCCCAGCGCGAGTTTAAGCCACCGGGTCTGGGACTTGAACTGCGGTTGACTACGTGGGATTCCAGTGACATAGCCATTACGCTGGTCCCTTGTTTTTTTTTTTTTTTTTTTTTTTTTTTAATACTTATGGTTATGGTTAAGGTTTATTATAGCAAAAGGATACATATTAAAATTAGAAAAGGAAAATGGGACATAGACTAATGTCATGAGAAACCAGGCATGAGCTTCCAGTTGTTCTCTCCCGGTGGACACACATAGACAATGTTTAGTTCTCCTAGCAACAATGAGTGACAACATGTATGAAGTATTGTCAACCAGGGACACTCTGACTTGAGCCTCTTTTTTTTTTTTTTTAAATTTTATTTGCCATAGGGCGTGTGCACTTGCTGGAGAGGTACAAAGAAAACAAGAGACGGAAAATGAAAAATCACCCCCAGATGGAGGGGATGGCCATGCTGTAAGCTCTTTTCCTTCATTCCCATTTTGGGATTTTGGGCATGCATACACACATGCCTTGTGTTTTCCAAGCTGCTTGGTCTGGGGCTCAAACCAGTCTGTTGACCATGTGGGATCCAGCTATCATAACACCACACCACTTGCTGGCTCTGACTTAGGGTTTTTTTTTTTTTTTTAAAGAATTATTTTATTTACTTTTATTCATTCATTCATTTATTTGAATTTGATGGGGGTGGGGAGTGAGAAAGCAAGCAACCAGGTCTAGGACTTGAACCATGGTCCGCCATGTGGGAGTGTCCAGTCCTTTAACCCCCATGCCACCTGTTGGTCCCAGACTTAGGATTTTTTTTAGCCTTTTTTTTTTTTCCGTAAGATGGATATGACAGTTAAGGCTACTGTATTACAAGAATACATATGATTTATATATAGTCTATGTGGGATTAGAAATAATTCTGTAATACATGACACTGGCATTTTAGAATGCATTGCTTTATCAGAGCCGTTAGCGCATACATTTATTGCTTGCTCTTAATTGCACATAATATAGTAAGTGTTTAACAGGAAGTATTTGAGACAGTTTTTATTGAAAAAAAATGTACCCCTGGGAGCAGTTAGGAGGGTAGGGGGCATTAAGAGGATAAAAAACAAGGGACCAGAAGATATTGTGGCGGTCAAGGGCACTGGACTCCTACATGGCCGACCGCAGTTTGAGTCTTGGACCTAGCAACTTGCTTCTCACTTTCCCCCCCCTCTCTCTTTCACTCTGTCCCTCTCTGGTCAAATAAATAAAAGTTAAATAAAATTTTTAAATTTTTTTTAAAAGGGAGGACAAATAACGTATGGAAGGAGAAACAAAAACATCCAGTCAGTCATCAAACATTTATTAGTGCTTCCTTTGTGCAAGGTTCCTTTGTAAGTGTTTGGGGGATACAAAAAAAGCTTAACTAGGTAGATCTGCTGGTCCCTTCCTACCCTGCATCCCCACAATCATCTCATGCTATAAGCATGAAGCAAAAGTTAGAAATTGTGCTATTTGAAGCAAGGGTGATTACTTTGTAAACTTTATCATTTTTTCCCCCTGTTTCTGTTTCAGGATGAGAAATCCTGTAGGTATTTTGCAAAACAGAGAAAATTACTGTGTCCCTATGTGTGTCTTCTTGCTATCTCCACTCACTTTTTATATCTTTTTTTTTCTGTTCACTGTGCTTTTTAAATTTTTTTTATTTTTATTTTTATTTTTTTTTTTTATGTTAGAGGGCTTGTGTACATGCATGAGAAAAAGAGAGAGAGAAAGAAAACCCTCCAGTGGGCACTGATCGTGCCTTAATTAGTTTTCCTCCAATTCTCCATCCTGTCAGGATCCTGGGCACATATATGCCCAGTATGTTTTTAAAGTCACTCAGGCCAGGACACCAATGCTGCTTGGTTATGTTGGGTCTAACTTCCCCTGTCTAGGACCTATCTACTATATTACAGGGCTAAACCTGTTCATAGTCTTGAAAGAATAGTGATTTTTGGGGACCAGCAGTTAGCATAATGGCTATATTGCTGAGCTCCCATGTAGTTGACTGCAGGTTCATCCCGGACCTGGTAGCGTAAACTCACGCCGGGTGCATGTGCATGCGTGCCCAAGATCCCCAGAGGAGAATGAATGAGAAGGGATTGCAGCGTGTCCATCCCCCCCTGGGGGGTGATTTCTCACTTTCTGTCTCTATGTCTCTCTCTGCCTGTCTGGCGAGCGCGCGAGCCCTATAGCAAAAACCTTTCCAAAAAAAAAAAAAAAGAATAGTGATTTTTATCCCCCGGAGAGTACATGTGCTCACTGGGGGAAGAGGGAGAGTGAGAAAGCACCCCTAACAGGTCCAACAGGTGATGGTCACTCTGCAATTCCTCCTCCTTCATTTCTCCTTTACAGGATTTTGAGCATGCTTGCATAAGCACCTGGCATGTTTTCAGGCTGCCAAGTTTGGGACTTGAACTGAGCAGTTGGTCATGTTGGATCCAGAGCCTTAACCACTACGTCACCAGTTGGCCTGACTTTTTATTTAAATTTATTTTTCATGAGAAAGAAAGACAAGGGGAGAGAGAGAATGACAGAGACATATACCTAACAGGGTCTTCTGATTGTATTTTTAAAAAAATTTATGTTTTTTTAAGAGAGATTTTTGCTATAGGGTGTTTGTGCTCACCAGAGAGACAGAAAGTGAGAAATCACTCCCTCACGGGGTATGGCCACCCCACAGTCCCTTCTCCATTCTCCTCTCAGGATCTTGGGTATGCATGCATACACGCCTGGCGTGAGTTTTAAGCCTCCTGGTCCAGAACTCACCGCGGTATATGTGTTGAAGTTCAGCAAGTAAACATGCCATCTGCTGGTCCCCTCTGATTGTACTTTATCTCTAGCCTTAGCCAGGTTGTGGGCATGCATGTGCTCGTGGTTATGCATGAAAGGGCCCAGGATGAGAACCAGTTAGCTTGCCCTGTGGGTCTAGTTGACAGGGAACAAGTTTTGACTTCCATAACCTGAATTCCTTATTTGCTCCCATCTTCCCACAGTGTGTATTCCCACAGGCCATCAGTAACTTCCTAATTGTCAGTTTCAGTTACTTGTCAAACTTGTTCTCTTTGATTATTTTTTCTGAATTATTTGAGTCTCCTTTTTTTTTTAAATTGGCTGTAGATAGCATGCATTCACCAAGAGACAGAGACAGAGAAGGAAAGTGAGAAAACACTCTCCAAGGGGGATAGCCATACATAATCCCTTGTCCTCCATTCTCCTCTAGGATTTTGGGTTTGCACACATATGTGATTTTCAAGCTTCCAGGTTCAGGACTCATACTGCTCAGTTGGCCATGTGGGATCCAGCTGCCTTAACTACCACACATTGGCCCTTTTAAAACATTTTTAAAGTTTTTGGGCCAGCAGATGCAGTGGTGCTAACGGTGCTGGATTCCCACATGGTGCTGCCTACGTTTCGAGTCCCAGACCTGCCGGCTTGCTTTCTGTCACTCTGGTCAAATTAAAAAATAATAATAACAAATAGAATTAAATAAATGAATAATTCTTTAAAGTTTTTTAAAAATTTTATTTAATTAATGATTGTGTGCGTGCGCACGCGCATGCACGCATACATGCAAAGGAGAGAGAAAGAGAAACACCCTCAACAGTGTCCTGTCATGCCATGATGCCCTTTCACAGGTGGCGTGTACCTGGCTTGCTTTTGAGCTGACACATGACCAGAACTGCCGTAGATCATGTGGCTTACATTACTGCAGTTCAATTTGTCATTGACTGTATCACCAGGCTAGGCCAGAATTTGTACCTTGGACATCTTTTCCTTGAAACTCTTTTTCTCTCTTTAGTGATTGCATTTCTCTGGTTCTGTATCTTCTACATTTCCCCTTTTCCTAAATTGTTTTTTCCTCCTTTGGATTATCTAGAATACTTTTTAAAAAATTTTTATATATAGACCGTAAATTAGTTTATTTTGAACACCCATCATGCCATGAATTCATAGGGAATAGGTTCCAGTAGCTCAGGCTCCTTCCCATTGGTTCTCACAAAGTGTACTTCTCTAGGTGGAGCAGGCTGGCGCTTTGGTTGAACCCAGGTATCTTTCTCTTTGGCTTCCTTCTTTTTCTGGTCATTTTCCTTCATGTGTTTTAGGAAGCTATCTCTGCTCTTAGAATGCTTAACATGCTCAATACGCACATTAATTCTCTTGGCAAGAATCTTGCCCTTAACTTGTTTGTTTACCACAATGCCAACAGCATGCTGGGTAACATTGTAGACTCTTCCAGTTTTGTCATGGTAACATTTGTGAGGCATTCCTTTTTTAACAGTGCCCATTCCCTTAATGTGTACAATATCACCTTTCTTGTAGATTCGCATATATGTTGCCAAAGGAACCACTCCATGTTTTCTTTTTTTTTTTTATGGGGAGATTTTTTTGCCATAGGGTGCATGCGCTTGCCAGACAGAGAGAGACAGAGAGAGACAGAAAGTGAGAAATCACCCCCCAGGGGGGATGGCCACGCCGCAATCCCTTCTCCTCTATTCTCCTCTCAGGATCTTGGCATGCACGCACACGCGCCCGGCGTGAGTTTTAAGCCACCTGGTCCAGGACGCGAACCGTGGTCGACTATGTGGTAGTCCAGCGACATAGCCATTACGCTAACTGCTCGTCCCACCACTCCATGTTTTCTAAAAGGCATAGAGAACATACGTCTGGTGCCTCTCCTCTTTCCTTTTGTGTTACTCATTTTGGTTAATTACTGGAAGATAGCGTTTCTGGCTAAAAGGAAGACAAATACTTTTATTTTGCTCCTTTCCCTTGTTGATTTTCTCTTAGTGCTGTTCTCCTAGGATTTAATTATCTCTGAAAGCAGATGATTTCTAAGTCACACAGGCAATTGGGATTGGAAGCCAGGAAGATCTGAATTCCTTCTTCTTGTTGCTATTAGCATTTTACTTGGGGGCATTTCACCATTTTGGTCTCAGAATCCTCATTGTGAAGTGAGGGTGTTGGACTTGATTGTAGAACTTAACAGTAGTTTTACTTATATGAGAAAAGCCAGTGGTACACTTTCTAAGTGTATAGCACTTTGAATGTCATACTTGTTTATTACTGAGTATATAGGATTTTGAATTTAGCTTAGATTGGGGAAAACTGGGGCATTGTAAAAGTACTGAGGCAGCCTTCTGGTTAAGGAAGCTAAATCACACAATGGCCAACCATGCACTTTCAGTCACAGACCTAGCAGCTTGGAAAACATGCCAGGAACTTGGGTTGCATGCCCAAAGTCCCCCAAGGAGGGAGAGATGGAAGAGGTGGGATTGATGCATGACTCCATTCTTTCTGTCTCTCTCTGGGTAATGCGTATGCCCTCTGGCAAAATATTAAAAAAAAAATAGAAATTGTAAAAATACTACTATTATGAAGGAAATGTGATTTTTTTTGCAAATACATTTTATATCTTTATTATATATGTTGAATCAGCACTATAAAAATGTAAAAAAAAATACTCTTCAGGATATGCTTTAATGGAGATATAAAAATAATGTATACCAAAAATAAAGGATGCTTTTGAAATAGAATCCTAGAATTTTTAGATTTGGAAAGGACCTTAAAGTACCCTTAAGTAGTTAGATATTTGGTTAAAAGGTTAGATTTTCTAGGCCAGCCAGCCAGTGATGTGGTAGTTAAAGTGGCCGGATCCCAAATGGCCATCTGATTGATTTGGACTAAAACCTGGTAACTTGAAAAAACAATCTTGGGAACGTATGTGTAGGAGCCCAAAATCCTGAGAGGACAATGCTTTCTTACTTTCTCTCTCTTCTCTCTCTCTCTCCAGTTAGTGCAGGCACCCTATAGCAAATTTAAATAATAATAATAAAAAATTAAGCTCTACAATTTTATCTCATTTTAATTTAATTTATTTTAATTAATTTTTTTTTTTTTTTAGATTTTTGCTATAGGGTGTATGCACTCACCAGAGAGACAGTGAGAGGGAAAGTGAGCAGTCACCCTCCAGCAGGGATGGCCGCAACACCAGTCCCTTCTCTATTCTTCTGCTGGGATTTTGGGCATGTATGCTCACACACCAGCATGATGTCTGGGTCTAGGACTCAAACTGCAGTTGTCTACATGGGAGTCCAGCAACATAGCCATTGCGCCAACTGTTGGTCCCGTGCACAGTCATGATTTTTAAGTCACTGGGTCCACAACTCAAAATGTGGTCAGCCCTTTGGGAGTCCAGTGTCTTAACCACCATACCACCTGCTGGCTCCTCTCATTTTAATTTTAAAACAGATATTACCAGGATCAGGTTCAGCTCAGCTTTTGACCCACTTATTTTATTATTAAAAAAATTATTTAATTTTACTTATTATTACTATTATTTTTTAATTTGCTACAGGGCATGTGCTCTTATAAGAGAGAGAGAAAGAGAAAGAGAGAGAGAGGGAGAGTGAGAGTGAGAAAGCAAGCTGCCAAGTCCAGGATTTGAACCATAATCAATCATGTGGAAGTCTAGCACCTTAGTCACCATAGCACTTGCTGCTCCTTGATCCACTTATTATGTATTCAAAAATCAGTGATATCTAATTAATGACAGTTTAATTTTAGGTTAGTTATTTAAAAAAAAAAGATAGCTTCATTGAAATATAATTGACATTCCTTAGCATTCTCTTAAAGTGTGCAGCTCTGTGTTCTTCTTGTGTATTATTAAGTTTAAAAAATTATGGTAAAATATGCAAAATACATCCAAAGTATGTATAGCAAGATTTGCCATTTGAAACATTTTCAAGTTTACAGTTCACTGGGATCAATTATTGTGCATTCACAATGTGGTGCTTCTGTCACCACCAAAGCCTTTCATTACTCCAAATAAAAACTTTGTAACCATTAAGCAATAACTCTCTATTCTCTGCTCCTGCTAGACTCTGGTAAACTCTGATCTACTTTCTCATGAATTTGCCTACACTAGGTATTTCATGTAAGTGGAATCAAACAGTGTTTGTCTTCTTATGATTGGCTCTCATTTAATTTAATTATTTTTTTCAGAGCCAGCAGGTGGTGTTGTGGTTAAGGTGCTAGACACTCCCACATGGCCCTGCACAGTTTGAGTCCTAGACCTGGTGGCTTGCTTTCTCACTTTCCTTCTCTCTCTTTCTTTGTCTCTGTCTCTCTATGGTCAATTTTTTAAAAAAGAGAATGAATAAATAAAATTAAATAAATCTTTAAAAAATGTTTATCATTATTATTTATTATTATTATTATTATTTTTTTTTTGGTGAAAGATTTTTGCTGTAGAACACACATGTTTGCCAGAGAGACAAGAAGGGAGAATTCACCTCCTCAGGGGTGATGGCCATACTGCACTCCCTTTGTCTACATTCTCAGGGGATCTTGGACACACACGCACATGTGCCTGGCATGAATTTTAAGCTGCCAAGTTTGGTACTCGCATTGCGGTCGACCACATGGGAGTCCAGCGACATAACCATTATACCATCTGCTGGTCGCATTATTATTACTTTTAAATTTGCTACAGGGCACACACACTCACCAGAGAGAGAGAGAAAGTAAGAAAGCAAGCTACCAGGTCTAGGACTTGAACCATGGTCAGCCATGTGGGAGTCTAGCACCTTAACCACCATGCCACCTGATGACCCCTCTCATTAAATTAAAATGTTTTTTCTTGATAATATTCTTTAATGTACAAAATTTTTTATTTTTGATGAAGCCTACTTACTCTGCTTTGTTGTTTTGTTCATGTTTTTTTGGTATCATATTCAAGAATTCATTGTGAAATCCATTTCCAAATCCAAGTCCATGAAGATTTACTTCTCTGTTTTCTTCTAAGAGTTTTATAATTTTGGGGCCAGCATGTGGTGTGGTGTTTAGAAGCACAGGACACCCACGTGGCCGACTACAGTTTGAGTCCCAAACTTGGTGGCTTGCTTTCTCACTTTCCCTTTCTCTGTCTCTCTCTGGTCAAATTAAAATAATAATAATATAATAATAATAAAGTTAAATAAAATAATTCTTTTAAAAAAGAGTTTTATAATTTTAGCTCTTTTACTTAAGTAATTGATTCATTCTGAGATAATTTTTGTATATGGTCTGAGGTAGGGATCTGACTTTATTCTTTTTTATTCTTTTTTTCTTTTTTAATTGTCAGAGGGCAAATGCACTTGCTAGAGTGACACAGAAACAGAGAGAGAGAAAGCACTTCTCTAATCGTGCTTTCTACTTGGTCATACCATAATCCCTTCTCTTCTTCTTCATCCTATTTGGATTTTGGGCATGCACACATATGGCATGCTTTTCAAGCCATGAGCTGGTATTTGAACCATTGTTGACTGTGTGGGATCCAGTTCCTTTAACTACTAGTCTACAGGGCTGGCCCCACAATAATTTTTATTAATGTATCAGAATTTGTATATCCTTATATATATGATTTAGACAGCATTTGGCATGTTATAATTCCTGTTTAGTAAATTATGAATTTGTTTTCTGTGTTCTGACCTCTTGTTTGTATTAGTTGGCAGGATTAGGCAATCTCAATTTTTTTTCCTTTAAGTAATGAAAGGTTTAAAGTGTCTAAAACATAATTCCATTATTAACTGTGTCAGCACACTCATCTGGAGGGTATTTTTGATTAGCAATAAGTTGCTAAAAATGAAGATAAATTTAGTATTCTTTTTTTTCCTTTTAAAATTTTTCTTGGGGGGACCAGCAGTTGGCACAATAGCTGTGTCACTGGACTCGCACATAGTTGACTGCGGTTCGAGTCCCGGACCTGGTGGCTTAAATTTGTGCCGGGCACCTGTGCGTGTGTGCCCAAGATCTCAAGAGGAGAATGGAGGAGAAGGTACTGTGGTGTAGCCACCCCCCCGGGGAGTGATTTCTCGCTTTCTGTCTCTCTTTGTCTCTTTGTCTTTCTGGCGAGTGTACATGCCCTATAGCAAAAACCTCTCAAAAAAAAATTGCTTGGGGCTAGCAGGTGGCATGGTGGTTAAGAGGTTGAACTCCCCACATGGTCAGCTGTGGTTCGAGTCCCAGTCTTGTCTGTTGACTTGCTTTCTCACTTTCCCTCTCTTTCTAGAAAAATTAAAATAAATAAATAAATCTTTAAAGCAAATTTACTACAGAGTCTGTGTGTTTACTGAAAAGAGACAGAGAAAGAAAGTGAGGGGGGTCAGCAGATGGCATAGTGGTTAAATGCTGGGCTCTCTCACAGGGCCAACTCCAGTTTGAGTTCTGGATCTGGGACTTGAAAACTGCTCTGGACATGGGTGCATGTGTGCCCAAAATCCCAGGAGGAGAATTAAGGAAAAGGAATGGCTATTTGCTTTCCCCTCTGGGGGAGGATTTCTCATTTTCTCTCTAACTGTCTCTCTCTGGGGAGCGCATATGCTCTATGGCAAAAATCTTCATAAAAAAAAGAGAGAGAGAGAAACTGAGAAATCACCCCCTTGGGGTATAACCATGTCATTATTCTTTATTCATTCCCCTCTTCTTCTTTTTATTTTATTTTATTATTATTATTGTTATTATTATTTTTGGTAGTTTTTGTCATTGGGTACACACATCCACCAGGGGAAGAAAGAGAGAAATAGCAAGAATTCACCCCCAGAGGGTATGACCACATTGCAGTCCTCCTCCATTCTTCTGTCCGGATTCTGGGTACATGCATACCTCGTGTGTTTTTCAAGCTGCTGGGTCTGGCACTTAAACCACAAAATTGACCGTATG